GCCTGTTTTATAAGCGGGTCTGGAATTCTATTGTATTCACACTATTTTGTGTCGCATATTTCTAATCGAGGTTTTTATCGAGGTTTGATATCTGCCCGTAAGAAATCTCGACTCAACAGTCTAAAATCGGGTTAATGTTTCCAGGTATGTATTTCACTATTATATTGTACTTCATAAGTTTAAGGCCCATCTATCGAGGTTATTTGGGCAAAAGTCTAAAGTTTTGAAAATATGCTTTCCGATGGATTATAATCACCATGATTTACACGGCCATAAGTGATTTCGTTATAGATGCTTATTTTAGTAATTGACTACAGAACGTCATTTAACGTTTTTTATGAAGAAATTTAACCAATCAAAATCAAACGGACGCAAAATTGTTCGACAATGTTTTTTTCGGTCCAGACGATAATTTAACCGTGGCGATGAAGTTTTGTTTGTGCTTAACTGACCACGTTGTATGCTTTCGATTGCCGCACCTTACATCGATAGGCCTCTTCAGAAATTTGAAGCATCAGACAGCATCAGTCGTTTCTGTTCGGACAATACCTTATAATAGGAATAAATGCTTCTGATGCCTATTGCGAATACGAAATCAACTTACATCTGGATCTATATTAATATCGCTTCCTCGATCGTTCGATGCCGTTTTCTCGCCTAACCTTTTTTGTGGTAGGCGGTTTTTTCTTTTCTTCTGTGATATAATAGGTACATTATTTCATATTGCAGTGAGTCCCACATTAAGTCGGTAAAGAGCGCGTTGTGGCCACTCTGTCTTGTTCAAAAGCTCCCGTAATCATGGCAAATCGTCCTTCCGCTTGAGATTCGAAGATGTGGTCATTTCCTCACAGGTCTTTAACCTCTTAAAATGACTGCGTAGCAACGAGCTGTCGTAGCCATTTTATTCAACTATCTCAGCTGTCTAAAAAGATACACATTTGACGAAAACGTTTAACTATTGATAGTACAACAGTAACACTTGTGTTATATACGTTTTACCGTAGTGATTCATAATAGGTTTAGTTAATAATAACTAAATACAGCTGAGCCTTATCATAACGGAAACAGTTAATCCCATTAAATCGTCGTGTTTTAGCGTTATTTCGTTTTTCGAACTGTGACTCTGCTGTATAATATGTGGCTGTGTTCGTCATCGATAGCCGTAGAACGGACATCAGCTATCTGTTCTCATAAACAAGCATACAACTGGTAGATCATCTGCAACTATTTGCAACAGGACGGAAGAAATCTATTCGTCGAGAGTTGACTTCAATTGCTGTGATCCCTTTTTACTCATCATATTGCCACCAAGACTTATTCGTCGTACAAAGTAGCCTAGAAACATAAAAATATTAACCGTTACTACGGATACGCGAGATCAATCTTCGTCGAATTAAAAAATAGTGGACGCGTTCTATGCCGTTCGATTAAGCTAAGTGCCGGCACTTCAATTAAAACTTTACCTCATGTTGTACCTAAATATAAACAAGAGTTACATCGAAACCTCTCACGTGTGCTAAAGGTGTTATATGTGGCGGCCATGATTATTCAATATAATTACCAGTTACAGTTTCAATTGCACACAAAAACGCTCACTAGTTATTTCCAAAATATCCCTTCCTTAAACCACAGATAACTTTTTTACCATTATTATTATTAGTTACCATTATCAAACGATTTTCAAACGAACGAGTGGCGCTCAAAGAGGTAACATTCCAAAAAAAATCCAGCGGAAGTAAGTTCTGTGACGGTTGAAAGCCAATAGTTACAAAAAGTCCAAAACGTGCAAAATGGAACAAAAGTTCTGAAAGAGGCTGGCCGTTGGAAGTTCTCTAGATGATCTAACTGGCAACTGATATTTTAAAATAACGTCAATTTATGTATAAAAGAAATACAGGTGTATCTGGCTTTTCAAACTATTGTGGTGATTTTTTAGCCTTTCTAAAATATAAACTCTATTGAGAATCGTCTAATTTCTCTCGTAAATATCTTACTTGGATTTTTTTAAAGTCACATGAAGACTGGCAATACCATAGACCGTCGATTTAGATGTGGGTGAGGTTCGCTTAATGCGTAATGGTCTATAGCTTATCTTCGCTCATACTTCAAAATCGACGCACTACAGTTGCTGGTGCCAGTTACTTGAATTTACCTCAATACGTCGTTTTACTACGTATTCAGGACAACTTTGTGAAATTATGGTTCCAACAGAACGGAGTTCCTGCGCGCTATTATTGTAATGTAGGAACATACCTTAATGAGAATCTTTCAAGCTGATGGATTAAATGAAGGTCTCTAAACATGAGACCAATAGAATTTTTCTTGTGGGAATACATTCAAAATGAAATCTCCGCCAGAAAAAAACTACGAGACTGAGAAATCTAAAACCCACAATTGAACTTGTGAATGTATAGCTCACCGTTACAGCAGTATATTTTCCAGGACAGTAATCACTTTGAACATTCGCAGTAAGGAGAAAATCTACATATCTTATGATTCTATAGATTCTTTTGCGGTTTAAATATTAAGTGTATGTATGAGGCCATGATCATTAAAACTACATACACATTCTTAGGCAATCCCATATATATGTGTGTCCACCCTATGTTTATTTATCCAATGGGTTGGCGGTTGCATTTTTGATAGCAAACTGTAACAAGATCTCTTTTAGACTAACTAAAAAGCTTGGTTCTAGCTTTGTGGTATCGGATATGCAGATTATGTTAAAAACCCACAAGCTTATGTACTTCATGTTTGCACGGGGTAGCATCAGGGCAACGTTAAAACATTAAGTTTTTTTACTACGCAGGCTCAACTTGGCAAAATCCTTTAACTTGGCTTTATTAAAGATAACGGTACATTTGGCTATAATAAAGAATTAAGAACCAAGAAGAGGTGTAGGGCCGCCTCTTACACCGAAAGGTATTGGCAATCGCGAATCTTAACAATACAGACTTTGAAAGTTATTTTCAATCTATTGGTAGAACTAAAAAGGGAAAATGTTTATGTGTTGAACGATACTACGTGTGCAGGTCGGCCTAACGTAGATTTGTAGCATGGACAGTGCTAGAAAAAGCATGGAAAACTGATTGATTACAACTTAGCCAAACTGAGCGATGTCTTTATTGGATTTCATTGTGAGTTCCGGTTAGACTCATGGCAGATATGTGACTTGTAAGTTTGTCTAATGCAATGTCGCCAAATGTCGTGGTAATTGTTTTCAAATGTTTGTCAAAACCTAAAAAAGGGTGCTGCAGAAGTTGTATTCCGATTATACTTTAGAGAAAGCCAGGACGCAAGTAAACTCAATTGGCCCCTGACTTAAAATTACTTGCTAGTGCTCATTAAACTGAGTCTGAAAGTCGAGTATTGTTATTTGGAGTCTCGCTTCTTAAAATACAAAAAAAAACACCAATTTGTCGATGAAACCATATGAGAGGGCGACCTAAGAGCTTCAAGAAAAATGAGTAATATGCATGGTAAGCTATAAAATGACACAGTTATGTCACATACTTCGAGTAGGTTATATTAGATTAGATTTTGACCAATTGTTACTCAGAGAAACGATTTTTCATATTCAGGGAAGCTCTTTTCTGCATGCCGAAAGCTGGCACCTTTTCTAATTTTATTCCTAAAGGTTTTTTATTGGACACTTTGCGATCCTTAGCAGAGGTCGAAGGAGCGATTCATTGTTACGAAAATTTATTTTCATAGCTGTCACAAGTTAAATCTATCAGAAACTTTTTATATGTGTCATTTCATTGCAGAGCCACTTAAGAACACAAACCTCGTCAACTGCGTGAATTCACAAGCTTGTTTTGGAATTTGTGCATTCAGAGCGATGCCCCTTTTCATACAAAAAGCAAATCATAAATATTTATCATATATAGCTCATCCGCTGGCTGCGCATTGATCATATCTTTGTATGCCTTGGCCTATCACTAACATGACTGGGCTGAAGGTACTTGAAATTGTAAATAATTCTCTTATCTGCTTTATACCTACTCTCTCTAGGAATTGATTTTTTAAATATGCCAGCTAAACAGCACACACTACAGCCCTGAAGATTGACAATGGGTCCATTTGACAATACCGCATACGAGGAATACAACCCACCCATAGACATACCGCAGATATTTCAAAAACAATTCAATCAACGATGGATTTAACCTGCACAAACAATTTCTGTAATTGTGTGTATGATAGTAATATCAAACTATCATGCACTGGTAGAGTTAAAAGTTATTAATCGACGGCTCAGTCGGCTACGTCCTACGTATCAAACATAGAAGAACATAGTCTACGGCCCCACCGTGTTTAAATAAGTGCCGTTAATTAGCTCCTCACTTCGAGAGAGACGTATGTCGCACCATGGTTAGGTGCACTTCATTCTAGCGTTACTGATTCGAGTAGGCAGTTAAAAGGCCTTTTACTTTGAAGACACCCTCAAAGTTGTCATCACAAGATGGCTACATTAAGTGGTCAAGACGTTGCTGTCTGTCTAGGTACTTTGGGTTAAACCAGCTACGAAAACTTTCTTTGGGTATCTTTGGATTTGGAACTTATTATAATATTACTTTAAACCAAAGTTTGCGAAAACGGCTAATTTAAGTGTCCATTAATCGAACTCTGGTCTATCGCTTCGTATGATTCATCCTTAACCATTTTTTAAAGGACCTCGGTTCAGTTGTACTATGCGGGCCAGACTTTACTGTTGAGATACTGGTCTGGTCCTGTGAAATATTTATATATGAAAACCTGGGCGCCAGATACTGGAGCGTTGGTTCAGGGCCAATTCTAGCATTATTACAAGTCTTCGTCACTATCTAGGACAGCTGAACTGCACATCTATTTTTGATTACTGTTTTCCAAGTATCATTATCAAACTCCCAGTAAACTAAAGACATTTTCCACGACAGGACTCTTCAAAATCTCCACATCGTACTCACGCGTTTTGTACTCAGTAAGTGGTAATAGTAGGGAGTCAGTAAAGGAAATTGAGAAGTAAATGAGAAATTTATTTATAATCGCTGTGCAGCTAGCTTTGTAGTTTCAAGTCCTCATTAATTTGTGTCTGCCCATAGGTCGATACGGGTAATGAGTGAGTATTTGATACAAATGAGTAAACATTATAAATTATTATATCATTTATCAATTATTTTCTATAGTTCAAGAACCACGGCATCATGATGGATGTAGTACGAGTGATTACGAGAAGCTTAGTTGGTTGTGACATTACAATAGTTTCAAGGTGTTTATTTTCATTGCGTATTTCTTTCCACTCTCTTTATTAAGCATAGGTTGAAAGCTTTAATTAGAATTGATTTAGTGCGTATAAATCTTCACTTCGCTGGAACGACTTGAGATGACAGTCTCTGTTCTGGATGAGATCATGTAACAATTAACAACAACGATTTTTATCATGATTCTGTTTTATAACGATTACATGAAAATAGAAGAGACTGATCTTAGATGGTAAAACATGCCGCCAGTAAAGATATCGAGTGTCATTTCGACCTAAAATTCAATTTTATTTGAGTTATAGGTTTACCACATCACGCAAAGACGTTAAGTTATCATTAATGTGGGAAACAATCGCTTAGCGCGTGTGTCGTCGCACAGCATTGTGGCAAAATACCCGTACAACTTTATCTGGTTCATTCGCAGATTCATCTTTCAAAAAAAAAAAGACGATTGACAAACTTGAATATAGAAATGCTGCAATGTACAGCCGATGAAACGGATAGTGCATATAAGACACTGCGTATATTCATAAAAATTACTCAAATTAAGAGAAAATGGATCAAAGGGCTACACCGTATTAATCTATGTAATCAGTTACCATAACAATACGCCACATGGACATTAACACATTCATTTAACCTTAATATTCGTACGACAAATGTCCCTGACAATTGCGATTAGGTTTCTTTTTTCGCAATGCCGATGAGCATGAAAACATGTAATATCATGACTCATTTGTCAGATAATCCGTTGGCTTGTTTAACTTAATATTTACTTGTTAGTTCACAGCTAACGATTGCGGACTCCAGTCACTATTGCACCGTAATTTAACAGCACCAACTACTCCATTGAATGATTTACTTTAAGTGTGCTTCAACAGCTGTCTCCGGATACTTACTTGTTTATATATAATCTTGTGAAAGATTATAGATAATAGAAAACGTAAGAAGCTTAAGAAAATGTAGTATAGTATAGAAACACAGTTGACATTTATTTTTCTTGTGTAATAGTAGTAAGTTCATATAGTCCGTTACGATCATAATAGACCTGGTCACATACCATAAGTTAATTGAAAATATGGGTTTCTGCGCATTTCAGAGTCAAATTTTCTTATTAATTGGTTTCGTCTTTTCCAGCTTCGTTCTTTTGTTTTCAATACAAGAATATCGACCACATTATATATGAACATTTGCTACTCGAAATTATTTCGGAGACCCCACGCAGGCCGTAGTCTTTTTCGGTTTTTATTTTTTGCGATAGGTAGCAATATGTCTTCATCTGAGTCGTGCATTGCTAGCGTAATTCTGACTTATTTCATAAGCTGGAATTTTAATAATACAATAATACCACAAATTGTAATGATAACACCACTTAACTGCGTATGAACATTTTGCATTTTGGTAGTTCCTCAGATCCTATCTACGGGATCGTGACGGCTGTTTCTATAGCTCAGAAGCCAATGAGCTTTGTAATAATGGTGAGTATTAAATTGCCAAGTGTAGAACAAGCGAAACGACTGGTATGTCACCCACATATATATATATATATATATATATATATATATATATATATATATATATATATATATATATATATAAAAGCACAAACACGGATATATCTGTGTTTGTATGTGAATGTGTGTCCAAGAGTTAGCTACGTTATGCATATGTTTTACGTAGTGCTCTTGATATATCGTATGTAGACGCACCCGAATCGTGTGAAGTACTATTTAAAATTGTTGTTGAAAGTAATATCGTATAGCGTAGTTATACATGTATGCGTCGGCTATACAAGCACCCAAAGTATTTTAAATCATCTTAATAAGAACCGCTCATTCATTCTATTCGGCCATATATAGCGGTACTCCGATATTTTCCTTTAGATCGTAGGTGCACGATGCGACATCTCGAAAAAGGCAATATATTACCACTATGACAGAAGTAACGAGTACATTATATGTGTACTCGAATATTTATTTAAAAGCTTTAAGGTCATGGGCTTCTACCGATAAATAAAGCACATTCTATTTAAAAGTGTTATGATTTTGTTGAACAATGAATGTAATTGAGAAATGAGTGCCGCTCTGCTGCCTTTTGAGAGAATATTCAGTTAGTTAATCTTGATTTTCGACATATTATATATTCTGCTTGTGCCTGCGGAATAAACATCATTGCACATCCAGTTGACTTCAGATAAGCACGGATCGCGAGAAAATTGTTGGAAAACTCTAAGAATATTAGACTACATTTAGCTTGCCTTAGCACTCTGTTTTAAACTAGAAACGTGTGCTAACAAGATAATAGTTAAGATTCACAGTAGCCTACACTGTTGATCATTAACCAATAAAGACTACACCAATGTACAAAGATATGATTCTAGGAAATGTGGTATATAAAAGGGAAGCCAAGCTTCATTTTGAAGCAAGAATTAAACGAAACTTCGTCGGACAAAAAATGTTACCATTATGTTTTCCTGCTTCATTGCTAGCTGAACTCTAGTAAAGCTTTGAAATAATGACTTATTTTTATCAGCTCATCCTTTGACTAACTACATTTAATACATTGATAACCCTCAGTCTCTATATTTTGAATTAATTCTCTATTTGGTATAGGAATTAGGCCCACTTTAGTAGGTACTACATAGTAAAGTAAAATGATAAACATAAAAATCGAATAAAAATATTACTACTTTGCAATGGCATCCTGTTGTTAATGTTTCGTCATCTTGCCACAAGACCTGCATCAAGACATATGTAAATGTATATCAAAATTTAATACAAATTAGTGCGTTATATAGTCCCTAAGCTACTATGCATCATTTAATGGTTCTAAAAGCATTCATAGTTGCTGAGCACATGGTTAGTCGTATTTTAAATCTAGGTGTGTAGGCAAAATGCTGAGTGAAAACAGAAAACCTTTAGCACAATGTGTCTTCCCTGACTTTAGAAACATTATTTTACCCATATGCCTATTTAAAATTCGTTTTTTTTGTCGGCTTCGTCGTTTAATGCAGGACATGCGGACTGGTGTACCGGTAGCATGGCTGTGATATGAGATTGCCTAATACAGCCGAGGTAACTGTAGATGGCTTACATGTAATACGTGAAAGTCAGTCCGGTGGTCGCTGCCATACGATATACCCAATATTCGTAATAATAATACTAGCTTTAGTGTGCTACTCGATGCTTGCTAGATCCTTAGCTCCAGCTATATTAGACTTTATAGGTTAGACGGTTTTTCGTTCAGTTATTCATTTGTGTGTTTGTAATAAAGCTTCACATGTCGATGTTAGCGATACATTATGTCAGTATCAAGCAACGCTGCGTCGTTTTGTCTCCGATGTATTTTTACGTATGATTTATTTTACGTGTGTATGTATGTGCTTGTTTGTCTCAGTAATTGCATAGTGTCTGTGAAATACAGAGTTAGTCAAAAGGGATGCATTTATATAAATGAACGGAGTGTCTTCAATGACTAGACGCAATAATCTTCATGATCATGTACTGCTTGCAGATCGATTAATAAACGTAGACAGCCCAGCAATAGTTGTATGTGCCGATAAGTGAACCCGGCGACAAGACGTTTAGTGCTCAGGATTTAGAGGCACAAAGTATTTCCTCCAATTAAAATGTAATCCTGAGTGTTTAAGGTACCTATATTTGCGATTTTTTTCCCTTTCATCTCTTTAGTTATTTATACTAGCTATTCGTTGCTGTTCTTATCCCTGATTAAGTGTTCAGTTTGTTGGTACAGCATATCATCATGCCAGATCAAACAACCTGAATGATGTAAAACAAACGTACACCATCGGTAAGTTACACAAGGTCCACTCAACTCTCGAGTCGTAAAAAACGTCAAGCAGCTTCAACAAGTTTGCTTGTTTTCACATATACCTAAAAACAGGGGCAGCTGGTGCGTATAGGCCAGGTTATATTAAAAAATGTCAACCCGGGGCAGATTAGTTTGTCCGAAACGAACGCAATGTCATAGTTATTTTTATGTTACAAATACTCAAATGTACGAATGTGGACTTGGCGTAAGTGAGGCTGAGAAAAAATGCTTAACGGTTTTTAGCACCCAGCCTAGCTAGCCCAATAATTCAACTCTATTGCTCCGTCATTTCTTGTATTGTTTATATTTAGTATCCATCGCCTAAATTTTAAAGTGTCGTATAGTTCATGCTATATAGTTTGTATACTTGCTTATATAGTTTAATACCAAACTATGCAGCACAATTAGTAACTGGGTGGCATAGTTTGCTACGATTTATTTGTATCATAGACCTTTTTCTACCCTCATTGCTATCATTTAGCTGCCGCCGATTCACTAAGTTGTAGACAGACATTAGCTATACAGATTTTTGAAAACAGTAACTGGCATTTCCATTAATCAATATTTTATTTCATAATTATACTGCAGTTGACCGAATGCCTCGATATGATTATGCTTGCTCAGTGTTAGCAAGCATGAATGATAAAGTGAATGTCACAACATATTTGATCAAGATCCTATTAAGACTTGTTTCAAAAAAGGCTACGTCTGTAGAGTCCAGGTGAATACAGAGCCTTATTGATATTGTGACAAGTCACTCAAAACAATGATGCACATGGGGTCTTTTTTTATTCTTGTATCTTTGCTTTTCTGGCCCGCCATGTAGTTTGTAAAGAAATCAAATCATAACCCCGTGATTTTAATCACGAAAACCACTTCCCAGAACATTGCGCCACAGGTTAGAAGCACCATGTAAGTATCAGCTAGCCCCAATACCGGCAGTGAATTAAAATTGATGGCATATATATAAACTATATCACCTTTGTTTTAGAAACACTTGCTAGTTGGCTGAAAACTATCATGAAGCCCTGGTTTGCGATAGTTTGTGATGGAAGTAGAGAGTAAGGCGTCTCAAAATCCAAAATGCCTATCGCATCGTATAAAACAAGTTTTACTCTATTATTTTAGCTTCAAATTAATGTTTCTGTTATTGCATCGTATGTATTATTGTTTCAACCTACTAACAGCAGGGGGCTAACAATACATATAATTCTAGCTGTTGACGTGGTTGACGACGCAGCAATGATTACAAAGGTGCATATTCGGAAAAAAAATTAGATTGAACAATACTGTGCACAGTTATACACCTGTTCATATAACTGCTATACAGTTTCGCATCCGCGTTTAGGATTGTGAGTGCATTGGGAGAGAAGATATTTTTTTTATTGCTGCCGTTGCTGCTGTTGCTTCAATACTGGGCGTTGGCGCCATGCAACGTGGAAGGGCGATCCGCGACCGGATGGACGAACGCCCTTAGGCCGTCACACGGATATGATAAAAACTTTTCTGTTAGTTTTGCTTAAAAAAGGGTGATTTTTGTTAAAGATCCAATAATGGTTCAGCGGCTCCTTTTCGTCTTTGTTTGATAGTGTTTAAACGGCGGTTGGCGGCGGTTATTCCCGCCACTGTCGACTGACCCTCATTACCTGTTATGCCACTAGCCGGTTGATTAGGTTCTCCTATGAAGCGCCTACGTGTTTTAGGAAGCTTTTCCCGGGCCTGCGTGTGACTGTAGAACATGGTGAAATTACTAACGATAACGGGAACAGGCAAGCCAATTGTGAGCACGCCAGCAAGGGCGCATAATGCACCAACTAACATGCCCACGTATGTTTTGGGCACCATGTCTCCGTAGCCAACTGTGGTCATGGTGACGATAGCCCACCAGAGGCCCTCGGGAATGCTGGTGAAGTCGTTTTTTGGGTTGACGCCAAGACGCTCCGCGTAGTAGACGAGCGAGGCGAAGATAACGATGCCGAGGACGAGGAAGAAGACAAGAAGCGCGAGTTCCTTGGCCGACGCCTTGAATGTGTGGATGAGAATCTTAAGCCCTCGAGAGTGTCGGGTTAGCTTAAAAAGTCGCAGAATACGAATAATTGAGAAGAAGTCTAGGATGTCAGCGTTCTCTAGGTCAGCAGCTAGGTACTGTAATAACATGTCGCTATAAAAGGACATTGTGGCTATAAAGTCAATGATGTTGATCGGGTCTCGGGCGAAGTCCAGCTTGCGCGGATTAACGGCAAATCGCACAACAATCTCGAAAGTGAACCAAGCGTTACACACAGATTCGATATAAAAGAAAGCGGCATGTGCATCTGTTTTAACCTTGTCTAATATCCAAGTATTAGAATAGTAGTTCTTTCCTTTCTTTCCATCGCTCTTCCAACCGTTTGGTGGAGAATAACGATTTTGATTAATGGTGTACTCGCTCAGGTTAATTGGTGTTTGATAGTAATTGACCTGCTCGATAGTTTTGTTAATGATTACAGGTACACGCATGTTGGGATGAGTCTTTAGGCAGAATGACACGATGCTAACACAGATAAAAAAAACCGACATGACCGCAATAAACTTAGCGTAGTGCGATGAATAGGGCTCGTCCATAAGCAGCCAGATTTTTGGTTTTACGGTTTGCCAGAAAGACATGCTGTTGTTAAAGTAGGCTTCTTCATAACCAAACTTTTTCGCGAGGTCTTGATCGGAAGGTTTCTCGTTCTCTATATCCAAAGTGTCCAAGATAGCGAGAGTCGCCTGCGTGTCTCGATACACCGTATAAGTCATCCAACAGCATGGTTCAACCTGCGATCGGAAAGATACAAAGAATTATTTGTTACTTGGCCATCCATTATTAAATGTTTGCCGCCTTCACTCCAGTCTACATATCGACTGTATTCCGGTTGAGTCTTAATCTAAAGAGGACTATCGCGAGAGCACATTATAGCGGTGAATTGAAGGGGAATTAATTGCGAGTAGTTAGCGATATGAACTAAATATTTTGAGTTACAGCGGTTACCTAAGCCGTTAGGCATTGCTTTAGACGGCTTACTGCCAACACGCAACGAAGTGTGTCTACGCCCAATTTGAACCTAAACCACCTCGAATCGCTAAGTTTAATAGGCAAACACGTTACCATTTCACTATCACGGGAACTTTATGCTATAGAACTCATTATGCCACCAATGGTGGCAAGAAAGGCGTAGGTAGGTCTTTTTAGAAGCAAGTTCCTAACGTGCTTTTAATAAGACATTATAATCATTCAAAATTGCCGGGCAAGAATAGGAATCCAAATCAAGGCCAGTAATATGACAAACGCTAATAATAATAAGCGAGCGCCTTACGTTCTATTTTTTATACTCCTCTAATATGTGATCGAAACCTATTTATATAGAGATGGCAATCTTGCCCCTATAGCAAAATGATTGAACATATCATTGGAAAAATCGTTGAAATTTAAGTGCAATGGCCTGATCTTTTTCTGTTATGTTCTTTGTTATCTCCCTTCTTTTGTTATCTAAAGTATTCTGAGAGCTTTGCGATATCCAACGATAGTCAGTCGTCACATAGTGGAACAGAACTACCGGTAAAGAGAACAGAACTTACTAGTAACTAAGTCAACCATTAACTTGAAAACAAAATAAGTAGCCTTTTGGTTTCCTTGAAGCTTGACCAGCTTGAAGCTTAGATGAGCTTTTTGGAAGCTAACAATAAAATTAGTGTACCGTTAGGTTACGAATTTAAAGAAACGGTTTCTGTGTTCTGGCTCGTAAGTTATTACGAGTTACACTATAAATTCGCTTCTTACTATGCACTGCCTTGAGTTCCAAGCGGTTGTTTTTGGTCCGTACTATTCTTAAAACATTTGCTATGCATCTAGAATCTATAAGGTCAATTCCAATAGGAGAAAAGATTCGATGAATGAATAATAGAGAAACCTAAAAATCATTCTACCCCTAAAGTTATTTTTTAAATTACCACTACTTGGTTGTGAAGCATTCGTAAGGACAAGCCAACTGGGGCGCGTGCTGGAAACTGAAGTAGACACCTACACTAAGTATAATATAAATAATAACTAAACTATGATAAAGTTCTAAAAGCAGCAAATGAGAAGAAACGAAAAATATAAATTCAGTTTTCGTCAATAATGCGAAAGACGGGCGCTAAAGGATTTCTATTCATAAATTGCTAAAAAGGACTATTCGTGAGGTTCACAAAACGTATAAGAGAAAGGGCTCACATACAACAATGCTTTTTTTGTTATAAACTACTGCATCAGTTAAAAACATAAGGTTAACTCTAATAATGCGCTGATGGTACCACCCTTGAACTAAAAAGCTTAATTTTTTCGAATAACGTTAAGTATGCGCATCTTTATATTCAGATAGTAAGGTAATGTATATTTCTTGCTTTATTAGCAGCGTTTTATATAACGCCCAAAGTAAATAGCGTTAGTTTTTGAATTACACAAAAACAAGATCTTTAATTTAAGGACTAATTATGGGGTAACTGAGTTTACTATTTTGGTTTTAATTTCAATGGTAGTATAACGCAGAAAGTATAAGGTGTCGTTGGGAGTTCAGGCTTCCTTTATTAATTTCCATGATATAGGTGCAAATATTTAAGTTCAGCAGTAGCATATTTAAGTTGACAATTCAGGCTTTTTGTCTATTTCTCCAAAGAAAGGTTAATCCATGCAATTGTTCGCTCAATAAAATAATATTAAGATTATATCTATATACATACGTACATACATACATCACATATGGTGTATCAAAAAATTCAGAGATTCATGGTGTAACAAATAGCAGTACTTCTCTACCAAACACATATCTACATATCTGAGGTAAAGCAAAGCTCTACCATAATTAAAACGGTTCTAGACCTACCACTGGTTACACTTAAACTTTGGATTTCACAAACTTTTTTGATATCTTAGTATTTGTTTTGGCCATGAAGTACTATCGTGCTGATAGCGTATGTGCAACGACTATGTGCCATATTTTGAAAAAAGAAAAAGTTATTGACAATGCTGTGGACGGACAAAACTAATATTATTATATATTGTAAAATACGCTAGCCAACGCACATTTAGCGAGCGTAGTTATCGCAAAAAAAAGGCACGCTTCTAATTCATTTCGCCAGAAATGTAAACAACCACATTTTATAACATTATAACACAGAAACAATAACATTTTACACAAAATAATTCGTATTCATTTGTATTGTTGGTTAATGGATGGCATTCATTTTAATAATACAGCATGAAACACATTTACAATGAGTGTTAACGCTATTATTCACCTCTATATAAAAGCCACGCCGTTCAATACGAGCGATCTCACGCGCGTTCATAATTGTTCTATTGCACACTGATCATTATTGCGAACGACTAGAAAGGAGTATATCTGCTGAATTAAGCCTATTCCGGAGTCTATAGATAGACGCCGTTCTTCAGACAGTGCCGGTATGTCCCGGTGGGTGGAGTGTTTTTCTACCAAAATTTGAGGGGTACAATTTGCATTCGAATTGGAGCATGGACACATCGTTTCATGCTGAGAGCAAGTCGTGTGGTAAAACGTCTAACAGCGGTACGAGACGTATTTTTTAGAAGAATACGTACCAGAAAATATTTAGCTTTTTAGGTAAAGGCACTAAATCGTATTTACTTTGGGGCAACAAGATCGTTATTAACTGGTCGCATAGGAAGCAGCTTTCGAATTTACTGCCTTCACGCCGTTGTTAGTGTTTCCATAAGTTTATTTAAAACTAAAAACTATTTACATCTCGAAAAAAAACAAAGTATACTTTTTATTATAAAATGATGTGTGTTATTATTACACAGGGTAGATTACCCAAACTCAGGCTAGGAAAAGTTGTTTCTAGGACACTATCTAAATAAAAATAAATATTTTAACAAAGTGTTTTGTATGTATTAAGGTGTCATTTCTGGTCGTCACATTCAATCTAACCTTTATGTACCGCGATGACAACAAAGTCGAGCGGAATATAATTTTAGCCGATATTTGGTTAATTGTCCTGTTTTATAAATAGTTATATAAATAAATATAATTTCCTTAGCTGAATTTAATGAAAAATTAGCTGAATTACCCTGTATATATTGAGCACTGGAAACAGTATAACTGTTAAGAGTGTAAACGAAATTATGCATACCTGCATTTATATGTGATTGGGATAGCATTGTTGTGCAACAATGTATGGAAGAAGCTATTTTGAAAATCCAAATAAAGTTTATCCAAACATACAAACCAAGGGTCCAATCGGACTTTTTCAATTTTTCTTTTCAATTTAAAAAGAAATTCAACTTCAAACCGATAGGTTTGAAGGCACTATCACCAATCAAAAATCAACAGTACATTAAGACTTTATGTAGCTTTGTCAAACGCAGCTATCGCACGGGTCATAATTTTCAATTATTTACATACTTTTCTATCATTTTTACAGGTAAGATATATCTAAAGCGTAGGAAATCTCACACAAAAGCCCTGCTCCACATTAGACAGAATACCACTAAAGAGTTCGGGCTCATCTACTTTGACCCCGAATTGATGGTTATAGGGTGGTACTTCAAAGCTATGGCTTCCCTACCTCTTAAAGCTCACGTAATTATCAGGACATTATAGGGTAAGAAACTCTGTCAAATCTTTTCGAAAAATAGAATGATTTATTTTCACTACAAGACAGTTACTGCTGCGCACGTGTGGTACATATTGAGTTGACAAGTATATAAATTGCAGCCATAATTGAAAACATATTTATATTTTGAAATAATATTACCAAGTATGCGCCGTTTTAATCGATTATCATCTGCCATTTTTCTGGTAATGCCATCATTCCATCGCCATAAAGCTTCTCAGGTTTCTTTGTGAAATAAGATATGATACGCGATTTTTGCATCCCTCCATTGACACTAAATTAACACCATTAAGAGAATTCTGCGGAGACGGAAACAGACGATAGCTATGCGGAGGATGCATTAAAATGTTCCATACAAGTTCCCGCAATATTTTCCAGATAGCTGAAGATGTATGTGATCTGGCATTCTCATAACGGGAGACGACTTTTCCTGTTCACAAGTTCCGGTCGATTTTTTTAATTGACTTATATTTCATTAGCTGTTGACGGCAGGGGTCTTAGTCGATCGCTTTGCCAGGCAACAACAACTTACGAGATACGCTTTTTTTTTCAGTACTATTAAATACACAACATCACTTTCTTTTCCATCGCTGTGGGCTTTGTCACATATTGAAAAACATTTTTTTAATTTGCAAATTTCCATATTAAGTGATTCAATTTTCATCACCTTTGATCAGCTGCTTTAAAACGGATCCGATCTCGTTGCATTTCTGTAAAATTTCGCAGATCAAACTATGATAGACTAAATTACTTTGCGTCAATTTGTATTGTGCCCAAGCATCGAGCGGTTTTTTGCAGCCAGCTTTCTTCAAATGGTTTAACACTGTTTGGTAACGGATATTTAGTTTCTTGCTACTCACATTTCGGTGTTGCTTAACTTTATAATAGTTTTACCATTCGTTTCCTTAATTTGTCCCCCAATACAAGGAGTATATTTTGCACCGACATTTTTAAAACCAATGCGATAGAACCGTCTCCAGGCCATTTCATTCGATAAAGTATCTTGTAAGAATTTTTTCATGGCCCTAGCCATCTATGGCTTTTTTGGTAAAAGTTGTAAAATTTAGCGAAATACTGCAGAATTTTCACTAATGTTTAACAAGCACCGTTCTAGGTCTGAGTAAAAGCATTCCAACAGTTTGTACTGTATACTGAACATTTTCAACCAGATGTTGCATATAAGTTTCCGAATTTATCACGTTAGATACAGGAAGGCTTCGTGCATAGGTTCCAGAAGCTTGTTACATTTTTGCAGCACAATTTACACATATGCAACTTAAGCACTGAAATCTCCCTTAATATAGAAGCACTAATGCTTGCGGTCTCTGATGATGAGTGATTTTCACCCTGAAGCTTTATTCCACCTACGATTTCGTTCATTGCGCATATATCGATAATTGATCTTCTTACATATCCCAAGGAAGTAAATATCGAAATATCATTGACTAGCCAGCAACTCTGCAAGCCTGTCTTGATAGACCGTCGTGCGGCTCGGTTTCGTCTGGTCAACGCTGAACGTTGAAATGGCCGGTAATCACAAAAGGAGAGGAAAATTGACAGATTAACACTTCCAGTCAATTGAAGAGTTTTCCGCTAGCACATGCGTTGATTCCGAATCAGCCGGCCAAACACAGGCCGCTATGAAACTTAGTTGACGCAAGATAAAGACGTTACTCCCAATTAGGTACGGCGTGAGGTCGTCTATCTTATGATTGCAGAAAAGGAAGATCTTTCTGTTAGGACGCACTGACCAGTTATTCTTCAATGCAGGGCAATGCGCAGAATAGAAACGCGGTAAGTTATAAAGGCCAGTTGACCAAGTCTCCATTAGTACGAAATTGTTTATTGCGTCTGGGCCTTCTCACAATTCCACTGTATAAATTTAGCATTTCCTCAAGCTATGTGATCGTCTCGCTAACAAATAGTTTTTAGTTTATCGGATATGGTAGTACCCCTAGATGCACCGCATTCTACACTACTACTGCGTACGAGTCTTTTTTGCACCGTACCGAAAGCGCCCATGTATTAAAAGCATGGACGCCATATTTCGAGACATACAAAAAGTTGCGTTTATGTTAATACTTTAGCGATCAAGCTTTGAAAGAAGAGTTCCATCTCATTTCTCAATGACTTGAGGAATATATAGTGAAAATGTCACTGTATTTATGCTCAACGCTCAGTCCTCTATTCCTTATTGCGCTTTCCAACATCTTCTATAACTTAAACAACGTCTGGTCAAAGCAACTTCGGACAATCAAGGAACTTTTCACTATTCGATTCATGCTCTGAAATTTAAAAAAGAGTTATAGTGCAAATACTCTAGTCTAACAGCAGTGGTTTTGATACCTCGGCTTTCCTCCGATATCTGCGTAACTCGAACATCAAGGTTTACATCTGGTTAAAGGCAGCGATTTCTAATGGTTTCTCAATTTCTGGAACAGTGCACTGGTAATATGTTTTCTTACCACAATAGAAAACACGTGGTGGTCTAATTGACGTCGTGCGTAGACACACTTGAAAGTTTCGAATTGGGAATTAGCCTCCAGTAGTTTGGTACAAGACGCCTTAGTCACTGAACGTAAATTTAAGATGCTTATCTTGGACCAGGCGCTTCAGCGTGGAACGCGCAGTTTAACTAATGCTCCACTTACAATGGCAATTAATATAACCTCTCATATTTATCAAATACGTCCAATCAATAATGGATTTGACAATGACATAGTACTGCATACGGAATAGCGTAAAGCAAGTCTAAGACGAAAACATTGTCCTTAAGTTTATAGATTCTAATAAAACAGCTTCGCACATTCTTCGCAAAACGAACGTCTACAAATATTGATTTAGGACACTGGTAGGCGAAAGGAATAACTACTGTCGCACTATAATGTATGTCTACAGTAGGAAAATGAATCCCTCTGCATGAGTCTTTTTGCACACTGCAGCAGCGTGTAAAAAAGTCCTGTGGAAGTATCTCTAACATATGTAAAATTAGACAACGTTGTTGACTTATGACTTTTTTTACAAGTCAAAAATACGGCAGCAACTACCACTATGTGGAATGTTAAAGGAACAAAAGGCTAAGGAGCATGATAGTTCCTACCGGATATAGAATCTACCCTATCATCTTGAATCGCCCTTGACTATTTATTCAAAAGCATATTGTCGGTTTATACTGAAAGCATGATAACCCGTTGCGTTAATAAAGCTTATAGACTCTATAATTTGTATCGAACTCGATGCTTTGGGGATTCTGGCTTATTGGTCTGCAAGAGGTCAGCACAATCTATTAGAATGTTTAACCTTATCTAAGTGTCTAACCAAGGAAGTCTGATGCATTGAAACTGGAAGAGAAAACGAATCTTTTCCACTGTCTAACCCTCCCGCATAATAGCATATAATCTGCTAAAAAAACACTACAATTGATCATACAAAGAAGGAGTTACGCATTCGTTTACAGTAAGCTGTCAAAGAAAGATGCTTCCTGATGACGCTCATTTTAGCCCTGCAATGCAGAAAAGGTTAAAACAGTCGAATACTGTGCCTGTAGGTTCTTAGACAATTTTTTACTTTTCTTAGACGCTTTGCTTTAACGAGGCTTGTATACACAAGCTTGCATATAAATCACAAATTTCCTGATTTTCCTAAACCGAAGCTTTAAGGGGTAGACGAGCTCAGACATCGGCCCGGGCGACACACTACACGCGGTGGCCAGTGAACCGGATAAATTACTGTTGCAGAAGCATGGCAGACATAAGTGTGGCTAGCAAAGGCTACTGTTTCACCGGTTAAGGCGCTCAATTATACGCAAACCACTCGCAAATAAAATTTCTCAATTCTGGAAAAAGAGTTAATCCAGCTGTTCACTGACAATTCCTTTCATTGAGACGATTAGCTGATATCGAACGACAAAACACTCACGGATACACTACATGAAGTAATACCCCGTTAACGATTTTCCGATAGTCATCGCAGGCGATTTGTTAGCCGAATCTTAGATAAATATTAATCTTTTTATTATAATTATTATGATTAATAATAATAATATAATATAATTATATTATATATTATATTATTATATAAAGACAAATATCAATAAATACTAAAAATTAAATAAAGTAAAAATTCTCTCGTTGGAGAAAATTTAATGAAACTTTTTCCAACGAGAGGATTTTCGTGACGAGAGAAAAAATATTGTGCACAATCAAGGGTTAGGCTGTTCAACCCCCCTTTTATGGCGGTCATGATGCGTAACGTAGGTCGTAATAACCTTACGGCAGTGACTTGTCGTCGGCTCTCTTCGGTGACTGACGGTCGGGTTCTGTCTACCTTCAAGATATGTATACTCATTTCGTTGAATTTTTTTTATTATCATCTGTTTTGAATCGCTGAAATAATGTAACTGTATAGGGCTGAGAGATTATGTGTTGAAATTAGAATTTCCGCTTTTCTTTATATAAAATCGTTGCCTTCTTACACCAGTAAATGTTTTATCGTCAGATGGAGACACCGATTTTTGCTATTAGCATGAAAACCGTGGAGAGTGGCCTAGATATGGTAGAGAGTGTACCATAGCGACCTAATCTTTTTATCCAAATTTCTAATAACCTAGTTACTTACCAGGGATATTGCATCGCTGCTAAGTATGGTCCTCCCATTTTATTACAGCTGAGAACATTGGATATAGTTAAAAATGGAGTTACTGAAGTGGATATTACAGAAGCGTAATGTTTCCCGTGATATGATAGCTCTTAGGACCACACGGGAAGTGCACAAAGAAGCCGACATTAGAAAGTATCACAAATATATGTACGTACAGTATATACATTCGAGCATTTGAGAAGTGGTATGAGCGTCTAGTTGGGTGAAATTGCGGGAATTGAGCACAATAACAATCCGTTCGTATAGTATGAAATATATATGCCATTTTCATAATATCTTTTGTCGTGAATACTATTGACAAGCAAAATTCATGAAAATTGCATATAATTGGTCTTATTCACGATACATTTTGTTTAGTGATTAATGGCATTGTTTTTACTATAAATTATTGAAATCGACCTTTGGAAATAAAAAATGGTACCCGTTAACTTCTTTCGAAGACAGTTCCGTAGGATTGCTACTAACGAAGTCAGCTTCGTATCAAACGTCTCGGTTTTCAACTATAACAGTATTTTGGAAATAGAGAAATTTTTTTTTGGGATACCGTTCAGTCTCACAGCTTTTTTTGACGTGTATTTATATGACTACGTCAATATAATTTATGAAAACGCCAGGCACGAGACCTGAGAAATGCGGGACAATAACTCAGATTTAAAATTATTACAAACTGTAAATAAATATATCAATATCATGTTCCTATCCTTCATACCTAACAAAGAAGGGAGTAACTTATGAGTGACCCCACTTATAACATTAAAGTAACCCGAGTTTTGCACTTGGCCTTTGGTCTACTCCAACAACCTTGATGCTCTATATTTGGAAAAAAATTACCAGCAAAATGTAACCTGCTCAAAAAAACTTATATGTGAAAAAAAGCGTGTGAATTAAACCAAGGTTGAAACACACAGCGGGCTATCTACTGACCTGATTTGGATCAAGACCCCAGTATTCGAGTTCATCTTCGAACAGTGGACCGCAGACGTTTGTGGGGTAATGTAGCTTCCCGGTACGGTAGTAGTTCAGAATTTGTGCAAATACTCCCGGATGTCGATCAAAAAAGAATTCATTAAGTAATGGATCATAGTTGGCGAGTGCCTCTGTGAGACGCGATAGGCGCGTGGCAGGAATCTTCTTTAAAGTTTGTTTATAAGTCTCGAATCGAATACCACCAACGTTAAGAACAACGCGGTTTTCCGCGTCAACGAGTCCACGGGCCGCATGCATCGCGCAGATTTGACAATAACACAAACGCGCCCTTCCAAATCTACATGCGTACGATTAGCTGTACTGGCTGGTTTTAGATTGGTTGATGTTAGGGTTTAGAAATAATGAAGGCTATGCCACTTTTATACAAACGTACGTAAATCGGAAGCAAAACGTACGCCAAAAGATGTCAGCTGCTTTTGGCACAGCCCAATTGTGTAAGGCTGCCCGAGGAACCCATTGACCGGCCAACGGCCGACGCACGGATTAAAATTCAGTCACGTCAAATATTCAGTAGGCGCGTTAGGTTACCCGTATAGCTCGTCTCTAGTCAAGTTTGATGATGCTTTCATGAATACCATTTTTAATCTAGTTATCATCACAATAACACGCCGTATTATTAGTGTTATTCTGGCGGTGGATAGATATCGTTTTCTGCATGCGATGATTATCATAACCTGGAGTCGAAGCAGGTACATCACAAGATTTCACATTATCACAACCTCGAAATGTGTTAATTAAATGAATAAATATAGCAGTATTAGCAGCTGTTGAATACTTTGCTATTGTCGCTATCTTTGTTTCAGTAGTCATAATTTTTAGGATGGTCGCGGTAGTACTGGAGTTGTGTGTTTAAAGATTGATACAGCGGTACATTTATCCAAGTTACCAAGCGGTGGCAGATCGTACGACGACGGGAGTCACCGTTGAGATTGTGCTACTTTTGCTAAGAATCTTCTTTTCCAAGCTTTGTGTTTCGTCCTTTTTAGCTCTTCCAACAGTGCAATAGGAAAGCAAGATGTTTAAGTTGGCTTTATTTACTTTTTTCGGACAGGCTCTGAATATGGAGATACCTGAGCCATCAATGTTTATTTAATTTGTGAGTGACAAAAAAAGCAGATAGGAAGTGTTGAACACGGTAGTAATCAACTTTAGGTCAGTACTTTTTCACATAACGAAGCGGATTTTAGCACGTCCAGTTATTCGCAAAGCAACTGTGGGCCGTACATTTGGCATTGTAAACATGTCTCTTACACCACATTTTTGACTTTCACAAGCTCCAGTCCTAAAACTACTTGCGAGCTTCAAGTAACTGATTCGATGTACCGCCTCGTGTCCCTCAGCTGCGTTTACTTCGACGTAGGGCACAATATACGTAAAGGAATATTATTGCGTTGAAATAGATCCGTTCGTCTGGCAGAGCACTTATTACTTCGTTAAGAATTCACTTTGTTGTCAACGTCACCCAGAGCCCTATAAAGCAAAGGTTTCTTTACTCAGGAGTGCGTACCTGTTGACGGTTACGTAGTGCTGCGACAAAGCAATCTATTCGTATTATTTACACCACGCGTTGCGCCATACCACTAGATCCCTGTTACGCTCTTGATGTGGGGTTTGGCGCAGATTTCTTGTGATATGCCCATGCAATAGTTATTGTTAAAACGACAGGTCTGTTTTTCTATTGCTTCACCTCCTTGTTTACTGTCTTTTTAACTAAGGCAAGGACCAAAACGAGGAAAAGAATAAGGCCTGCACTGAGGTATTCAGCAGACCTTTAAGCCAGCCATTGATGCCTGGCTGCTTTCTTGGAGTGTGCACGCATGCGCGACCTGGTATCACTCACACAACCGTTGAGGTTTCGCCAACTAGCTAGCTACCCTTCTGCCAACATTTTGCTGAGGGCCTCTCTCCTTTTCTATCCGCTCAAGCGATACGCCAACAACTCTGCCTCGGCGCGACTTATAGTTCTTACTCCCTTTCCCTTCCCTCCTCACTCATTTTCCACAAACTCCTGCGGACGCCTGGTTTCTATGTGTACCATAACAACTTAGCCGCCTTACAGTAATTCCAGTCGTCCATTTGTGTAATGCCGATGCCTGTCATCAACAACGACTCGCATTGAACTGGATCTTAATTATATAAAAGCCGTATTCTACAATTTACCAATCTTTTTGTTTAACGATAACTATATTACCGATGGTTCAAAGAAGCGTGTAACTGTGTTGCTCTCGTATACGTTACGTGATCTTGAAACAATCGTGTCTCAAGAAGGTACCATCATATTATTTAAAAAACAGGGTAAATAATGGAGGATACTCTAGGTGCTTGTTGACAAAATCCATAATTGTATAGTATTACTTAGTATTAGCTCTCTTTTTTATCTCCTTCTTCAACTTCTACCTCTCTCCGTAATTCTCTCTCTCTCTATACCTATACATAGAATTTCTTTGGAAAGCAGACAAGTAAATTGTTAAAAGACATTTTTTGCCATTCAGATAATTTGAAATAAATTATACAGGTAAATTTTTCAATATTCATTATTATTGCGTTTAATTCTACTTCACCTTCCGAGTTTTACGTTTGGTATTTAAGCCATTAAACAATGCTTCGTACGACTGGCTTTCCACGCGAAGCAATTTGTGTCTGCGCTGAGATTAAGCCTAGGCAGCATTCGGTATCCCTAAGTTTAGTGGAGAAATCTACTATTACGTTTAGCTATGAAAAGAGCTACTGAGTGCAATCATAACCCATGTTCAACAATGGTTACACTCACTAATATTTATAGCCAACCATTAGCCAAAACTATCAAAAAACTGAAATTAGCTTTAAAAAGATATTAATTTGGGAGCCAGTATGAAGTTGCTTAAAACAAGATCTATTGAGTTGAACTGACTTGAGGTACAAGTCCTTCCTATAGAGAAAAATATGTCTCTAGATCTCAAAATCTGTAGCAATTGTAGCTGATATGACTGTATCAGTATATGAACTAAAGGTCACTGAAAAATGATGCTTTTGGCGCAAGACTCATCTTAAAACACCTAAGTGAGTAATTACGTATTTTGAGTTCGTACAGTATATTTAAAAGTTTAATCATATGAAGTTGCTCGCTGCGTTAGTTTAAGCTAACTTGTAGGTTCATGTATGCAGCACGCCGTAGTTATTGTATAAATTTAATATCATATAGATTCATCAGATTTCTCAATCTTTGAAATAAGCAGACAAAATGTAATAACTAAGGGAAGTTAAACAGAGCAACAATACTGTTTTAGGTGAGACAAGATTCCCGAACTGCAAATTAACGCATTAAATGAAGAGACATATTACAATAAACATTTATTTACGTGCAATCCCATCGGCCAAAAGATGGCCCCTATATACCAAGCAGACCGTTTCGATGCCACAATACTCGCACTTAGTTCTAACTTTCTCTATGGAGAGCGATTCCAACAGTTACATGGGCTAAAGCAAATGCCACGCATGTATAGCATTTCCTGGGTACGTGGCGGTAAATGCAGGGGTTAAACCGAGACTTATCAAGGATTGAATTCGGCAAGTAAAAAATGTCTTGGACTACTGGATTAAGGAAAATCACATTGGATAAAATGAGACGCTAGCTTCGATAGGTTTGACGTTACTGACTAGAATTGGTGTTATTTATGCAAGGAGTCTGGATCCCCTGAATGTTGCCAGATATAGAACCGGCATTCTCATGGTACGAGCCATTGTAGGATATAACAAAAAATTTTCTAGTTCTTTACTTTTCGAGCAATTACGCAGGATTTGCAATTGCCTTATGACCGGTTCAATTTGTTTTAGCAATAGGTTGCAGCATGGTAATGTTTGAATACATACAGCCAACAAAAAAAGTAATTGATTTAAGGTGCGCAAACTCCAGCTCTAGACTACTTAACATCTTTATAACTGTTATACTAATCTTCAAGCTATAAAAGTACCTGATTCTCAATGACTAACATTTATCATATGATCTCTCTCTTTGAAACAAATTGGCACACGGAAGGTGCATCCGAAAATTGGCAGATCTAAAAAACTTTTTCTTGTTAGCTCGATGTATACCACACGTTTCCATTTGCCCTGAACTTAATTTTTTCAGAAATTCATGTTTGTGCTTTTCTTCTTAAATTTCGGTGTTTCTTTACAATTTTCTTGTGCTTTAGGGAGTCCTAGAATGCGCCGACATAGATCGCATCGTCTATGCTGTAACTTTCCGGTTACAGTGAGTCGTACTTTTTTTGGTGTTTTAACGCAAAATCAACTTTTAATCTTCACTTTTAAAATTGTCTTATTAGTAACGAAATGTCACTAATTTTGCCCGAAACCTTTTGACTACTTCCAGCAGAACTGTCACTTCAGGCATAATCACTGAACGTTTATTTTTATTAATAAACTATGTGTGCTTCTAAAGTTATGATTAACTGATGACGCTCAATTAGCTTATAGTTGCGGAATGTAATTATTTACCAACTTTCGTCCATTAATTGTTTATGGTTTTTTTTGGTTATTCACACTTTGGATGTCTGTTTGAAATCAAACCTAGCTCCTTGTCAAAACCGTTTTGCTTTCGAACTGAGTTTTTATACGTGTAAACGAGTAGTATATAAAATTAATGCATACAGATGCACAAGAAAATAGTATTGTTCCCGCTATTTCAACACATCGTTTACATTTCCTGTCATAGCCATTCTAAATTATTAGCGGTATCACTAGCCTTCATCGCAAACTATGGTTACTGTCAACTATTATTATATTACAGAAAATAAAATTGGACAGATACTACAGCCGTAACTCTGCTCTATTAAGCGACACTTACCTTAACTTTCGGTAGTTTCGCAAGAAAATAGGCAATTGCATAAGATTGATACATATACATTATACATATACACTAAGTAATAACACCCTGAAAATTCGATCGAGACTATAGATTAAAAGTAAAATACGCTGTTCGTTGTTAATTCGTTGTTATATAGACTTGTTTGCCTAAGTATTACACTAGCCTTACCCGTAAAGGGCATAAGTAGTAAAGTATCCTGTACTTTTTTGTAGGAAGGAAATAAAAGCATTCAGCCCCAACTACAGGCAGAAAGGAATGAACATCTTGAGGTATAAATTTTATGAAGTAATAATAGTTAAAGTGCCAATATTAAACAACTCTACATAATACTGGTGGTCTCGATTTACACAAAACATTCAACAAACAAAAGGGGTAAAGAAGATCGCTGTCCCAAAAAACTACAAGAGAATGCCAAAAAAATGCCCAAAAAACTACTCGGTTCCAACACAGAAGTAGAGAACAATTGCAACGTGAGAACTCAGAAAGGAATAAACGAGTGGCTGTAACGGTGCTGTTAGAGCACCGCGGCATGAAGCATTATAGAAAATGAGTTATTGCAGAAGAGATCCATTTTTCGCATACAATTGACCGCAGATGAAATCCGCATAACGCGCCTAGTATCCAGATTTGAGGCTGCATAAACCTTTAACCACCTCCTCTATGTTCCTCAATCGGCGCAATCACCCCCTTTTACCGTAATATCTATCGAAAAAAAGCGTAACTTTTTTCAATAATTTTTACAAGAAAAGTAATGATCACAGACTCTGTTTAGCAGAAAAACATTCTGAATAATTTAGAATATTACTTTATAAAGTATTCTTTTGTACCAAAAAAGATATACAGTAGCCATCTCTGACTAAAATTACCGAAAAGTACGGATAAGTATTCTTTCACAGGCCAACTGATAGTTGGTCCCCTTCCAACGGAGTCATTGCTCCGTTGTTGTGTTACCAATAAGTAAACACTAACATGTCCGGCAAATGTAGCCGAGACTATTACTAAACCGCTGCGTAAACTCTATTTTAAAAATGGTCGGGAACGTGTAACCTTAACAAATAACGTTGTATCAAAATACAGTTACAATAGGCTATCTTGCAGGGCTCAGTCGTTAACAAATTATCTTATTACTGAATTCCGCTAACAATTTGAAGCTCTAATAAATAATTAGTATAAATTTTACGCTTTATGCTGTGCTAACATTGCATCAAGTAGCTGACCTTCAACCCGAAGCAAACATATCTATCGTAAGATTCGAATTCGGCCTTCAGTTCGGTAGATTTTGCCACTGCACCATAACGGGCACTTCTACGAAAGCTATGAAATAAGTACTAGGTGTATCACCAATTAAAGTATTTAATATTACAGAGTAATGAAATAAAATGATACAAAGTAATGAAAAACAAGACTGCCACAGTTCCAAATAAGAAAACACGACAGGTAAAGCTGGATGTCTGGAACCTGAGAAGTGTTATAGTTTATGTTAGGCTGAGTGTGACATAAATGAATGAGCAGGCAGCTATAAAATACTGTACACGAGCTGATCTAGCAGTATATTTATTTGTATTCTTTTTATATTTTTATAATTATTTGTCTGTTGTTACTAAGCCATTTCGGCATTATTAGTTCAAATAGAATACAATGGCTTATGATTTCTCGTTTTACTCGCTTCAAATGAAGTTCTTGATTTTTCGAAAAATGTATCAACTTGGATTACACATACTCCATAAACAAAACTAGCCTCACTTCGATCAGCGTTACCTTTTCAGCGCTTATTCTGTACTTTCCAAAGACAGGTTACGTTGTGCCGGCAACGGTATCCTGCAGAACATTCCAAATAAAATATAGGTTTTTTTCGAAATCCAGTGAAACTTGATAATTGTCTAATGTTTACTTCTATCACACAATAGACAAGCGAGAATTACAAATCAAACAACACATTTAGTAAAAGTTTCTGGGTTTCGCCGACATATTTGCGTTCTTTTAATGAAAGTTTGAATAACAATTTATCGTAGTTTGGTTGGACCTCACCGATCTCACAACATATAACCTTCTATTATGAAACTGTGGTCGTCATGGGCTTGTTTCATAAGGTTTTCATCTCAAAAAACTTCAGAGGAAAAGTCCAGAAGCATTTAGCAGCATGGTCTAAACAGTCAAACCTGATCGTCTTTTCTGAATAGTCGCCAGCCACTTGGTCTCTCACTAACGTTAATATATACACCTCCAAAATCCTATTCGTACTATATGGTTTCAACATGATGCTCTCGATACTACTAAAGACCAATACGATTTTTAGTGAATATTTTCGTTAAACTAATTGTTGCATCTACCTTGTTAACTCCTTTGAATTTAGTACTCATGTGGCATTTGGTTCAAGGCTAACGACTTGTCGGGATCACAACACCGCCTTGCACTTTATTTAACTTCTGCGTTCTCTAGATGCCGAAAACTTCAGAAAAACTAGTGCCAGCGACACATCAAGTTTCTAACGCTACGCAAGATAACGTCTGACAATCTCAGAAGACATGGTTAATTTAACGTGTCATAATCAGGTGACTGACAATATATGACATCCAGACAAGGCTAACGTGTCATCAAAAAATCTTAAAAGTGTCTATTTTCAGCTAAGAGGAATCACTTGCGATCTGTCGTGGGCGGACACCTGCCCAAACGGTATTGAGTTTACCCCGCAAGTAACCTGCTAAAATACGTAGAATACAGCGTAAATGCAGCCTCATCTCGGATCATTTGTAGCAAATCTGCTTCAAAAGAGTGCCTGATACTCTCACAGTCTCTTTATCTATGAACTTTACTCGCTGTTTCAAATATGCAGCGGTTTCCTCACAGTCTAAAAAGTCAATTATATTAGGTAGTATTTGTAAAAAAGGGATCCCGTCCTCGAAAAGAGTGGTAGTGCAAAGGTGTATAAGATGCCTTACAATGGGCAGATAATTGTAAATATAATGTGTCGTTTTGTCTTGTCAAACAATATGCTAGAGTCACGACACCACGGCTTCAGAAGAGGGGGCTACTTGTCACAAACTCTCAAAAAGGCTTACCATTAGACCTTGAAAGTAGTGATAATACTCTCTGCATATTAGGTGCTTTGACTTCGCGTTGGTTTTTGATAGAGTAGATCACTACGTTCCGCTGCTGCACGTTCGGCTCAAGTAATTGCTAAGTGCCGCTCTTTTTTGTTGTCAGTCTGGTAGGTCGTTACATAAGTGCACAGAATATTTTTCGGATATAGCTCCAAGATAATACACAAGCTCCATAATATGCGCAATCTTCGTTCAAAACCTAGGTGTACTCTTTTGAGAAAGAGGAGATACGTACATACTAAATGTACGCTGATCGATTCAAGAAATCTGGGATAGTACAGGATTAATTTGCAGGAGGATTTTGTCGTCGATATAATATATTCCGTAACCAAATCGTGCTTGCTAGTATCGCTGACTATCCGCGTAGTACTGAGCTGGAAATAGCACGAATTTAGCAAGCGTACTCCACATGACGAAGTTTCTGCCTGCTGTGTCGTTAGGCAAATTAATTTGAGAAGCTCTTCTCAGTCCAGCCTTTCCTGGTTGTGACTGCTACATCCGCAACGGTGCTCATTCTATTGTGTTATATTATGTGGCGCTAATAAAAAAGACGTTGTGAATTGTATCATACGCAATAGTCCACTGAACTTCCGCCATGCGCGTCAGCACTCACGTATATGGGTGAAGCTTCTTCAGGGAGAAACACGCGATAGGAGCTTGAAAATGAAATCACCGACGCTATATTTGAAGATGCGTATTACACCGGGTTAGAGTACCGGACTTCACGAAACCGTCTACCGGTGCAGCAGATTATTAACCGGATGGATTGTTAAAGGGGACGTGAATCGGAAAAAAGCATGTTCTGACTCACGACGGCCTTTGGAGGATGGGGTAGGTGAAAATAGACTTTGGGCAACTCTAACGTCTGAAATTTAAGCATGACCTTTATTGCACCGTAATGCTCGTATCGCAGGAATTCTAAAGCTGTATTCTATTAAAATTAACATATTAGTTAAAAAAATTTATAATAATAAAACTTATTTTTCCTTAGCTTTTCACCTCAATACGATGAACATTCCAGACAGTCTTACTCGACGGGTTAACATAAATTCAGTCAGCCTTCAAATCGCATTTTATCGGCGTACATGTTGTAACCAAAGTTGAGCGATTATCGATTAGAAATTCCCGCGGTAACATAATGGCTTAGTCATCAACTAAAACTTGTTCTATCGGCAAACAAAGCATTGTGCAGTCATGCTCAAGCCATGGATATTAATGTGACCAAAAGTGACTCGAGTAGGATATTGTCTAAAGTAGTCTTACACGAGATCATAGACTTTCTTATCCACGAAATAGACGGTTTATACCTTTACTGGACTTCTTCGGATGCACGGGAATCAACAAGCGATTCGCATATTACGAGTATTTCTTAAAGTGGCTTTCGGGAAGCTTTACATTTAGTATGCTTACTATAGAATGCCTTTGAGTCCGCTTGAGGATTTTTTTCGAATCTTCATGATACGTAATTGGTAAAGGCCAGAAGATATAACAGACATAACCTTGATGAGCCAAACGAATCTAATGTTGATCCTGTTAGGTTCAATTTTCCTTCTGATTTCTCGACGGCCTATTTTGGGACTTAGATATTGCCGCGCATCACATTTATGTGTGGTACTGTGAGTGCCACATGTGGTACGAACCAAAAACAGCCGATCTAGCGGGTGGATTTTTCAAAAGAACTCAGGCAACTCTGGGCGATGGCCGGACCAGTGCGACGGCTTACAGCAGCGACAACGATGAGTTAGCGGCTGATGCTTAGGGGCAGCAGCTAGCACAATCATTACCAATCAACGCGAGTTTGCAACTGTGGCTAGCCGTCAACAAAATTTTCGTTTACCTTACTATATTCTATATATTGTACCTGCCTAACGGGAGAACCACCACAACTGGTGGAATTTGTGATGGCCGGGGGTGGCTGAGCGGCAGAAAAAGCCGCATTGTAGGTTCAAGTTGTGTATGAATGTTGGAATACATGTTCCAACACCTGCTTAGACCACAGCCATCGTCGACGAAAGGCTGCCTGGTTCTCATCGTATTGTATGGAGTGGATGACGTGAAGAGTGAGTGGTAGTGCGAAAGAAGAACATTGTATCGACCACAATTAGGGCCCTCCGCTTCAGCTGCGGCGTTGCAAATTGGTTTTTTTCCTGCATACGGTTTAATAAAGCTAGAAAAAAACTCGGTAAAAGGTGGCGACGAGATTACCTAGTACTACTAGACAAGGCAGTGAATGTGAAATTTAGTGCGTGCCCCTTTTCCTAACCCCTATTTCCCGCTCCTAATTGTCTTTTCTCGCCTCCCAGGATACGAAAATTACGTGCTCGTGTGTGCCAGTTTTTGATTTTCGAATGTGTACAGCCAACCAGTGATAGTAATAGCACAGCTGGTACTTCTAGGATTAACCTTACCGTGTGTTGTTAGCTGGCAAAACAATCGAAGAAAATTAAGGTCTGTGATTATCATAGGAAGATTTTCACTCATGAATTTGCTGTCAATTCCTGTTCTAAACGCTTCTGGTGCCGATCACAAGGGTCCGGACCAGCGCTTGTGCACAGCATCGATGTCTATTGCTTCCGCCTAAGCTACTGTGTACCCCTGTATAGGGTGCGGTTCAGTAAGAAGAGAAGTAGAGAGGCCGCTCCATTTTATCGCCACAACCAATCTAGCTGTTTTCACAACTACGCTAATGTTGCTACTTCTAACTAGTTTACTTACATACTGGCGGTAGGGCTGGTGCAGGCATATAAAAAATACACAATCGATTTTCAGGCAACTGTGCAACGACGCAAGTGGTTGCGTCTGCCCCCCTCCTCAGAAACAATAAGTAATAGCATAGAGTATAATAAAAATATACACATATACGTTGACTTCACCAAGAAGAAGCAAGAGAAGGAGGTTGACGCGTTGCTCCTATTGACGCTACTGCTTCTTCGTTGTCACGATGGGCACTTGCTTCAGCAAATCTCGTTCGGGAGTTAAGGCGAAGCCTGACGAAACCGCCTTAAGCTCAGAGGTAATGGGAGCTCCTCACCCGATTATAAGTGGCGGACATGGCCCTATCCAGACGGGCCCTGCAGTCAGCAGCGTAGGAATGGTGGGCGTCGGCGGAGTGCCGGTTGCCGTGGGAAGTGTTGTTGTGGCTACCGGCCAGGAGCCAAGACAACATATAGGCATCCACTCAGGACACCCGGCGCTGGACGCTGCCCTCGGTGGTGGTATGCCTAATGATGCTTCAGAAGGTGGCCATGGGTCGCCTGGTATAATGTCCGCCGCTCCAAAAGTATTTGTGGCTTTATACGATTACGATGCTCGGACTGATGAAGACCTATCGTTTAAGAAAGGCGAACATCTCGAAATCCTGAACGATACACAGGGCGACTGGTGGTTTGCCCGTAGCAAGTCAACGAAACACGAAGGATACATACCCTCGAACTATGTAGCTAAGCTCAAATCTATCGAGGCTGAACCGTAAGTACCATATGCTTAAACATTTCGGCTTTCGTGTATTTTTAGCAGAAAGTCATACGCACATAAAAATATGCACATTTTGAATTATTTTATATTGTAAACAATGTGCTGAGTGAATAAATTTCGCAAAACTCAACAGCGAGGCACTGCATGAGCCTAGGTTTTTGAAAGCCGTATACTGAGATCACAAAGATGGACAATTATTTCTGGAAGTTGAAATAATCAAGCTATTCATCTTGGTGTAAGAAACCATGGCTATTTATGAAAAAGACAGATTTGTGCTGTTCCCATCAAACGATCGAAGCGGCTTGTCATATTTTTGTTGGCTTAAACCTAAACGATTTTATCTACATATGTAATTACGATGGATAGTAATTGGACATGGAATTAACACGTCAGAGCTGATACATCCTCGGACAGGGTCGCAAATTACACGACGTTGGACACGAACTTTGGGTTCATAGCGGGTACATCGAAAAATGTACAGAACAGATTATCCTCATTTCTTTGAACTCGATTTCCCTTTGGAAATCTGTCAATATTTTGCTCTTAAAAGTTCTATATTTAATCGGGATATTAACGCCTTCTCTTTCGAGCAAAACGTATCCCAAAGAAAGTAACAAAGATGTGACAAATGTCTATTAACAGGTACGTAATAGTGACATGCGCACATCACTAGGCAAAAGAATGACATACCGTCATACATGTATGTGCTACAACTTGGTTGATTTACCAGAGAAGCAAATGGCATTCGAAGTTCCCGTTTGTGTTGAAAATTTAGCTGCTATATCCCGGGTCATTTAATTCTAACTACAGCGGTTGCTCTCATTTTTGAACGCAAAAAAATAATATTGATTAATCGTTGATTTCTCGTGATTAGCAACGCAGAATACATCGAAATATTTCGTCTCCATCCAATGATACTGTCGGTCAACCAATAAGCCAGCAGTACTTTTACGACACTACAAAGAACTGAAATTGATATATTGATAAAATCGACCAATGCAAACGACGTCGTAGTACATCTTCATTTCATTGTTAATGAACTCTAAAGCTGCGCCGTTCGCCCTCATTCTTTCTGTTCATTTCAATTGGCATTGATAGTTCCGGTAGCCCTACTGACGGGCAGTTGTTACGACGGAATCGCTTCTTACTGTGGGGCTGGTTTTCTCCAAGCGGTAACTATAGAAAGCCATTATAGCCAAGTTCGATTGAATATCCTATGTTTCAAAACAAATAGTGACTCCTTGACACCGACATAACCAAACAACACCGACAGTAACTCGAGGCAGCATTTCGTCTATGATATTCTTGATAGTGGGACTTTCCACCCTTGGCAGGTTGCCACTTTCACTAGGTGAACTAACAGAGATAAATATATCTGCTAATTTCCAAGACCTGTTGCGAATTACGTTCCCTAAATATTTTTATGGCAAAGAGAAATAAGACATTTAATGTCAATATAGGAGTCGTTTCGGCCAAAGGGTTCCTTAATAACAAGAGCGCGATGTGAACCCGACGAATCTGTTCTGAGGAACAAAAGCCTTGTTGTACATGTGCTTCATAAATTTCTTTATTAGATCGTACAAAATCAAATTAGCTATTAAAGGTACTATGATTCCGCAAAGACGCATGATTCCAGCTTGCTAGGTTGTTAAAGGTAATGGTTCAACTTTCCATTAATGATCTGCTCATGTGGAACAATTAAAAATATAGCTAGAAGCTCTTGATCTGCAAAACCGCTTGTGTATTATAATATACAGACATGGCGATTTCTGAAATCGTAATGCTATACACATAGTTCTAGAGTGACGAGATAGGTAAGCAGATAATTGGTTAGATCCCGAGGTAAAATTTAGTGATTTTTAGTATACAAATGTTTTAAAGTACTAATTTACTTCATAAACTATTGTAAATCTAGTTAAATTTTTTTCTGTGGTCCCCTCTACGATGAGTCACCTAACAAAATTGGCGCTGGCAAATGTTAGCTATAAGCCAAAGAATTAAGCCATTTTAAGGGTGCTACGATAGTTATTAGAAGCTCGAGAAAATCAGTAATCGTGATTTTGTTTATTTAATGTTTTTATCAGAAGCTACCATACCATGTAGACAAAGACAAGACTGTCGATTGGCAGTGGGGTTAATGGCCAGTTGAGGAACCTGAATTTAGGTATTTTGCTAGAATCTTAGGATTAACAGAGTTAAAGGTCTCCAGCCATTTCTACAGCCTGAAAAATTATTCTTCAGCCGAAAGTGTCAAAACGTGACCTTCCTGGCTAGTTTTGGGAATACAATATGGCTATAGATACATCATGTCTTCAAGTCTCAAAGATCAACTTTTCCACAACGGGTAACCATCAATTGCTACACCCTTTTAGTGCTTTAATTTGTTAGAGTCCTCTTTACTAGTCAGTCATTGTATACTCCTACAAAGCCTCTGTTATATCTGTTACAAATGGAAGTGTTAGTTTAATCCCATTTCTAAAGAGCTTGCTTATATACGTGAGTAAATATAAACGTAGATTTCTCATGTAAATTTTGAATGACATTCTCGCACACATGTTTTGCGAGTTTTTGCGTATAATAATAGTAATAATAATCACCGATGCGACCACATCCCAGGGGTTATTACCACTTATTAGCTTGTGGGTACGTCACTGTGGGCCGTGGGTAGTTTGCGCTGTCTTTACGTTGGTTTCTGCCGCATTCCGTCTGTTGGTGGTAGCTGAAGACAACTAGCGAACCAGCAGTTCAATTCAGAGAGCGTTGCTGTAGTTACTGAAGCCGCTTCTGCAGTTGTAGAAGTGGGTCGCCAAAGCGAACGAACAGGATGCAGTGTCGGGCTTGACGAATGGACATACGAACGATTGAACGGGTCTTCCAACTCGCCTTGAGCCGGGCTCTTTCCGGATGCCAGCTGCAATACGGCTGCTGAAACGCTATCTCGTGGAACCTGCCGCGTTTGCTCATTCGCCGAGGAAGTAACGCTGGATAGAAACTGAAAATCTTCTTTAAAAGAAAAAAAGCAAAGAAGTGACTGTAGGATCGGTATCAAGACGAAAACACGTACAGACATGAAATACCATAGGGTTCATGTTTGTATGCTTTTGTCGTTGCTAATGTGTAGATTAAAGCTTCTGTAATCACAGTCTTGATTCGCTTGGAACTCTAACAGACAGATTTCATGCGAGGTTATGGTGTACCATTTATTTCCTTAACAGGTGGATGTCAACATGGTGCTGGCTTACGTTTTTGTCTGCGTGCACTATGGCATGAATCGCTGCAGACACTAGCTGGTAGTTCATTTTTTAAATCACTTAAAATAAATCAAAACACAATAGACAAACATACCAAAAATAGGTACCTTGAAAACAAACCAATAAAGTAACAAACAATGAATAAATAAATTACAAGCAACTTCGGGGGACTGTGAAGTTATTTAACTTTTGAACTACGTGCTGCTTGCAGACGACGTTTGGCTAGTAAATTCTCCTGTTTTTTAGAAATTTGTAAGTAAAAACAGATTGGTATTACTCGAGAAGGAATCCGTTCAAAAGGAATATCATATTTCGGTTTTGGAAATCAGTGCTCAGTGATGAAGTTCTTGTTCCCTGAAATTTTAGCGCTGCAGAGATTCATTGGAATCAGTGAAGACATGAGCCAAAAAGGCCTTAAGCGAAAGCAGAGTATGTGACTTATGCAAACGTTTCAAGTTCAGAAATTGTGAGAAACAAGGAGGTGATTAAATATCGGAACCCGAAGGACAAGAACGTAGTGCCGCAATTGAAGAAGCTTTTCATAAAAACAGAGCACGGAGTTTAAGGGCTATGTCGACCAAAACTGGCATTTTACATGTGACGTGTTATTATATAACATACATATAACGTATTATTATTATATATATAATTATAACCCAAATGCTGAAAATGCGGAAACTAAATAAAGAAACGAGTCTCCCGTGAATTGATTTCGGGTTAGTTGGAAACGCATATAGTGCTTTCCACGTGCAATTTTCGGAACATAAGTTAACAAAAAACCCGCCTGAAGCATATGAAGGTCGCCATGTACAAGACATGGTTTAATCTCAGTCGCCAGCTTGAAAAGGACCAAACGAGAAAATGGCATCGCCCTCGAAAGATATTAAGTTTGTCTCGAGTAGATTTGGGCAAAAGGTGATGATAGTATTTGCAATGGTTTACTCTCTTAGTTCTTCAAGAGACACATGGACCGTTGGCGCGACAATCCAAAGCATGCAGTCTGCTTACTTGCTGACATCACCAGGCCTCATTGCCATGTCTCAGTTAATTCTTAGATTAAGCAGAGGAATATCCAACATAGGCTTTAAGTAGCTTAATCTCCCAACCTAAGTCTGTGTCAATATGGAGCGTCCATATTCTAAAAAGGTTAACTGGTGGGCAAGCATATCTCACTATCGATTTATTTCGAGAAACCATGGATAAAGCAATTACACATAAGAACGCGAATAATAAGTATATAGTTACCCAGGGGCTAGGAGAGCAACTGAGACAAGTTAAAGCATAGTACTTTAACACATTAAAAAATGCTCATTATAGCCCATCTAGTTCAAAAGTTGTATAACTTCTGATTCCTTTCTTTCTTTTTTGTATTGATTTTTTGACTTTGATTGATAGTTTCAAAGTTCGCTGGATTCGCTTGTAACAGCCTTGTACCATAATGTAAATTGCTGACATGTGCAATTGTATCACCATAACCTCCGGTTCCAACATATTGTGTTTTTACTGTGTTGCGATATGTAATGAGCTTTTATGTTTTGACTCGCTTAGGTAAACTCATACTAGAAGATGCTAGGATGTAGTTAGCATCTCAGATTCTGTAGTTTTAACCAATTGTACTTCGTTAATCAAAGCTCAGATGTTTACGACATTACAGTATACCTGAAGCAATAAAGAAATTTAGGCTGTTGTCGGGTGGCCTTTATATTTTCGTGATGTCATTTTTGTATCATAAAATGCATATTA